AACCTATCAAGAGGACCCCATCATGTATGAGATCATGCGCAAACTAGAGGCCAAGGATAAGGCCACATCAGACGATTGTGTTGGTCAATGGCTTGCTGTTCCTCGAGAAGGTAGGGAATAAACGCTTGTGTGTTCCATCTAGAGAGTCTTTGCGTAGTTTGTTTCTAGGTGAGTGTCATGATATTACCGGTAATTTTGGACAGATTTAGCAAGTACGCTAAACTAATCGCTATGCCAGAGACTGCTAAAACTGAGCACATGATCGGAGTGTTTATGAGTAACTGGGTACGTGATTTTGGTCTTCCGAAGTCCATCGTCAGTGTCAGGGATGTAAGGTTCACTAGTGAACAGTGGCAAGTACGGCCCAACAAATGGGAACCCAACTGCAGATGACATCAGGGAATCACCTTGAGTCAAATGGCCAAGTTGAGCAGATGAACACGGTAGTACAACATCTGCTTCAGCCAAGCCAAGATGATTGGGATGAGAAATGACCTCTCATCACCATCCTGTACCACAACGCTGTGCACAATACTACCGGCATGACTCCCAACCAGCTGTACTTTGGTTGGAAGCCCACATCTGGTCTTGACTTCCTGTTGCCCGAGAACCAGCCCATCTCAGAGCCTGGCAGCATAGAGTTTGCTTTCAAATATGAGCAGCTGCTGCAGCAGGCTGTCGAGCACATAAAGAAGGCTCTGGATGCCATGGTCGTGTATGAGAATAGGCATAGACGACCTTCTGCATTTCAGGTAGGTTAACGGGTCTGGGTGAAGTCATCTGAACTGGGACAGGAGCTGGGAATATCTAGAAAACTGATGCCACAGTACTCTGGCCCTTGGGAAGTCTAAAACATAGTTGGGGATGCACCGGACGGGCCATTTTATATTATTTGAATCCCTGGTCACTTACGCACACACCCTGTATTCCATGCCTCCAAACTGGCTCCTTTCGCTGAGACTGACATGTTTCCCTCAAGGAGATCTATGCTGCCCCCAACCATGGACGGTCACGTAGATATTGACGATATTGTTGAGCACAAGCTGATGCCTGTGCCCAAGGCTCCAGGCAGGTGACGCCCTCCGGAGCTGCAAATGCAGTACAAAGTGCAGTTCAGACATCACGTTGATCCTAAAGAAGACCGGTAGTTCACAAGGGAAGAGCTAATAAAGACCGCTCGGCAGGTTATCTCAGGATATGAGAGAAACTGAAAGGGAAGCAGCTGGCTGATTGAAGACTTCTCAAAGGACTATCAAAGTAAAGGAGGGAGTGTGAGGATATCATCCCTTGGCATACCTGCATGTGCCCCTACAGCAAGCATGTGCCCGCCCTACGTGAAGGTGGGCCTGCGAATCTCAATGAGATCTCAATTCGTCAATGTTACAAAGACTTGGTGGGCGCCAGACAGTTGCCACGCGCCAGTTGGTTGCATCCGCCCTGCTCGTAAGAATCGGAAACACAGCCCTGCTCGTCAATATTACAAAGCCTTGGTGAGCCTTCTAGGCTCTTCCAGGAATGTTGGGGAAGCAGGGAACACCGCACGTTTGGGCCTGGGTGGTTAGGTACACCTAGCCAATTCGGTCCCAGGCCACTGTCTGAATGGGCCTGGGCGCAGACACTTTGGCCCAACCTGAAGCTAGAGGGCACACGCGTGACCCAGGCAAGGGGCAACGCGGGCAAGCGCTTTCCATATAGGGGGAGTGGTCGGGCACTTGGATGAGCAGGTGGCAGCTCTGCTGAAGCACAGGCTCACACGCAGCTGCTACCGCCAGTGGGAAGAACACGAGCTCGGTCGTGAGGCAGGGCACTACAAGTAGGCAGCGCCATAGCCTGACCCTCATAGTTGGGCTTGGGCTTGGTTGTAAGGCAGCGGGGTTATGGTGGTGGTCTTCGGGTAAAGAGGAGACGTGGGAGAAGAAGACGAGGATGTGCATGCGGGGGCAAGAAGGGAATTGATGTGGGGGTACATACCTGGTTGGCAGGGGTCTACGTGGTCGACATCTGGATGAACTTCGGTTGCTGCTTCTGACGTCAACTGGTTGCTTCGTCATTTAGTAGGCTGGTAGTTTAGCAGTAGGAAGGTAGTCTGGGCGCTGAGCGCCAATAGGAGGAAGAGCTTCAATTACATTGTTGGTGGTGGCGAGAGTATGCTTTCATTGACACTTGGGTTCGCTGCTTTGGTTCTCCTTCGGCGTGACATTGGTGTATTTCTGCTTTCTGGACAGCTTTTGACTATCTGGCTTTCATTGTGATTTTGCAATCTGCAATTCTGAATTTTGCTATTGCTCATTTTCCTTTCACTTGATATGAGATCCGCAAAATTCGTAACATGTTGAACACATTATTCTAATATAAGCCATGTGGCACTTCTGATACTGACACGGCCTCACAAGAAACCAGATAAAGGAGGATGATCACAGACACCAGAACTTCAACTACAGGCAAAATTCTCATTGATATCTGCAAATGCAGAGCAACATTTCCCGGGGCAGAGGCACATTTGCATCACGAAGTCAAATTGGAACCACCAAAACAACATACCCATCACCATCTTTTGTGGGCATATCTGCAATCAGCAGGAATAGAAGAACGGAGAACAAGTCGACTTGCACAATGCCATTGCTTGAGGCCAATGAGACCTTACATCCACTAGCACGTTCTGCAGAAGCGCCAACAACTGCTCCGCTGCTTGCACCACCACCCCCTGCAGCCTGTAAGAAAGAATCAGTAACCAGGATGGTGTTAATGCTGATAACATACACTCCCTGCATACGAGGTCACCACACACAAATAACATAAAGAAAGCAAGGAGCGTGGTCCTTAGCAGGCAACAATGAGCTCGTAGTTATTGTATCTGTCAAACTATACTTGCGGGTGCACCTTTGCTATGTGAGGCGCATGGAGCCGGGCACGGGGTGATGATATAAGCACAGGGGGCGCTGGATTGCGTGCGATTGCAGCTGGTGCAGGCAGACCGTTCTTTTTGCTTTTCTTCTGTGTGTGTTGTAGATTTTCACCACGACAACCCCTGTTCCACCCAGATAAGTAGATTCAAAATCGAAACAGCTTTACCTCTATCACAGACAATGAAGCATGCTGGATGAGCCAAGCCAACAATCAAACAGTTTTTTACCTCTATAGCAAGCAAAATGGGGCACAATAAGTTCATTATATCCCTTTCTTGACCATCTTTACTTTGGCTTTCTTTGGGATACCCCTTTAGTTGTTCTTGCAGCTCCCCTTTCACTGAGGGTCTCATGTACAACGCTTGCTGCCCACATTTCCGCACGTTATGAAAGGAGGGAGAGTACAGGGGGAGATATAGTCCTGTTAATTTTTCTTCAGATCTTCAGCTTATATTTTGTCTGTTCTCTTAATGATGCTCGTTTGTGTGCATTAACTAGTACACAAGAGAAGGGAGGAAGGAAAGGATAGGGGGTGGAGTTCTGTACGGGGTAGATGAGGGAAGCGGAGGCACAAATAAGAGAACAGAGGAAAGACGAGCCTCAGAGGGTTATCAATACACACTGCGGGAGCAGACTATCTAGAATGGCACAAGAGGCCAGGCAGTGTTAGGGTTGCAGGAGGTTTTGAGTTGAGGAGCTGCCGTTGCCATGGTAAGTGGCCATCCCTACTGAGCAGACAGGACTGGTTCGGGTGTGGACTGTGGAAGCACCGCATCCAATTCTACCAGTTGTAGTTGCTGCATCAAATGGCATGGTGTAGAAAGATGTCACCGGCTACATGGCTCCGACATGCTAGGAACACAGAGGCTCGCCGAAATGGTGACTGTCATCATATCTGTGAAAACAAAACCATGATCATGACATGCTACTGTTATGAACTTGGTTGTCTGACGATTTCTCCCGCCACTCACACACAGACAGTCTCATACACGCCCATACATGCATAAGAGAAGGGGAGAGGAGACAGAGTCCAAACTGTACACAGATCAGAGTAGACAGCGGAAGTTCAACCATGCACGGATGGGGAGAAGACACCCTGGGTTTCTCACTCTCTGACAGACTCCCAACAACCAATCACACGAAGACACCTGCAAGGATAACAATTGGAATTCACACTGATGATAAACCAACTCAAACCAAATATCGTTACAGAGTTTGTTCCAGTATCTCGCCACTTTCTGAACGCCACACTCCACTCTCTACCATACACCCAGTTAGTAGCACAACACCGAAATGGCCTCCCAGAGGCCAGCGCCAACCACCCAGATAAAGAACCGATCCTGCAACGAAGTCCTCAGTGTCGGTGAACAACTCTGACGAAGAAACAGGCAGCTATGGCTGCCACCACCCACGAATATTCAGTGAAGAGCCTCGATATAGCCCTGCCAGGCGCAGATACCCTCAAGGGTAGGTGCGCTGAGGATGCCCCAGCTTTGGCAACCTTCTGAAGGCCGGCTATGGCTGCCGTCCACGGCGAGGGTCTCAGGATGCCGCCTATAGACAATCGTCACCGCCAACTTGCTTGGCTTCTCCAAACGCTGCTTCGCAAGAATGAACAGCCAAAAGTCCTGACTCGATTTTCCTAAACTATTAATAGATCTCTACTACCCTAGCCTAGACCTAGACCATACTGACTGGACCGACCGGTACCGTTTCAGCTTCGGCCTCTACGCCTCTCCCTACCCGGCTAAAGGCTATAGGACCGTCTATCGGTATAGGCCCTTCGGGCCTGTCCGTCCTAGGGGTAGTCCGGGTCTGCTATACGCAGTGAGGGTAGCTGTAGGAAATTCGAAATAGTGTTGGGCCTATATTTCCCATATTTGCAGATGTCCCTCACGAATTTGCCTTACAGCTAGGTCTCTCGGTCAGCCCTCAGCCAAACAAAATTATGATCTCTAACCTACTTTTGTTACTGTACAGCCTCGCAGTCAGTCTCGACAGTCAAAATCAGCAAGCCATTGTAGGCTTACCCCCCCGGGGAGCGAGGACCTCCGAGCTAGGGATGCAAACGAGGTGAGCGGCGGGGAAGGTTGCCCTTCTGAGCCGCTTCATACCGCAGCACAATCGACTTTGCTGTCTTGAGGAGTTCCCTTCTGTAGAACCATTTGTTCTCAGTAGGAGGTTGGAAGGCGAACCTCACAAGATACTGCCGATCGGGGCGAGTGCCCCACTCATCCTCAATAGATTCCACGTCATATCCCTTACCAGAGATCGGTGGACCAAATTGAGGGGGCCGGTCTGGGAATGCATTAGCTGGGGTGAACGGGAGCATCTTAGATGCATGGAAGACCGGGTAGGTTTGCAGATGCAGCGGAACGATAACATACGACGGGCCAAACGGATCAGTGTCCCCACTGTATCTAAGACCTGCCATGGACCCAGGTAACGAGGTAACAGCTTGGGAGAGATGTCCTCCTCCCTTGACAACTCAGAACTGGCTACCCAGACATAGTCACTAGTGCGGATGGGGGAAGGCCGCCTATGGCGATTAGCTTGTTCAATCATCGCGTTTTGGGCTTTGAACAAGTTCGCCCGTGCTCTTTCCACATATATGCGATAGCGTCTGGCAAACTTTGTGGTGCCTGGTGTAAGGTCGGACTTAGCCTTATCGATGATATCATCGAGAGGCTGTCGTGGTTCACGTCCCCAGTGCAATCGGTATGGACTAAACCCAGTCGAGGAGTGGACAGACATGTTATAAACAAGTTGTGCTCGAGCCAAGTGGAGATCCCAATCCTGTTGATCCGGAGAGATGACAGGACGCAACAATTGGAATAAGACTTGGTTCATCACTTCAGCCTGACCATTGGCTTCAGGATGATGACCAGAAGTCATGTCCAATTGTTAGTGCAAATAGTCCTTACAGTAGGACTGCCACTCATTGCTGCAAAATCGGGGGTCTCTATCACTGACTATAGAAGTGGGCGGTCCATGGTGAGTGACCCACCTCTTTGAGAAGGCTGCTCTCACAACCGGGACCCTAGCTACCTCTGGCAAGGGGATGAACTCTGCGTATTTGGAGAACCTGTCCACGCAGACCATAACCTGACGCATGCCACGAGGGGTGGTCTTGCCTAAATCTGTGAAATCAATCGATACAGATTCAGCAGGGCCATCAGGTATGGGTAAGGGTTCGAGTAGTCCCAGAGGAGGTCTACGTTGGACTTTATTCCTCTGGCAAAGCTCACAGGTTTCCACATATCGCGGCATATCACTCCGCATCTCCTTCTAGAAGAAGCACTGCGACAGGGCTGCATAGGACTTTAAGAACCCAAAATGTCCACGGGCATCATGACACTCTGACATCAGCAGTGTCCTGAGCCGCTGATCCTGGGGAGTGCACAAGCGTTCCTCACTTCTGTTGTAGGTATACAACAAGTCTGAACTCAGGGCATAGTCGGGTTCAGAATTAGGATACGCTTGCAGACTCCTGACTATGGGTCCATAAGTCAGGTCCTGAGGCAGAAGACGAGCAATGGTCTGACGGGTCTCCTCTCCAAAGGAGTGAGTCGAGGAGATCAGTGCAAAAGAGTGAGGCCTACGAGAGAGGGCATCTGCTACCTTATTGTAGCATCCCTTCTTGTGCTTCAGTTCAAAGTCAAACATGTCGATGAACTGAATGTAACGTGCCAACTTGTCATTTAACTCTCCCTGGGACTTCATCCACTGTAAAGTGGAGTGATCAGAGAAGATCTTGAAGTGTCTTCCCAGGAGAAAGTGCTTCCAATGTTTCAAGGCACAGACAAGAGCATATAGCTCTTTCTCGTAGGTAGAGTCACGAAGCTTCTGAGTTTTGATCTTCTTACTCATGAACTCTATAGGCTGTAGACCATTCCCATCATCCTGCTGAAGAACTGCCCCAATGCCATACTGATTGGCGTCAGTGGTCAGGATGAATGGCAAAGTGGGGTCAGGCAACTTCAGCACTGGTGCACGAGTCAAGGCCTTCTTGAGTCGTGTGAAGGCCAACTGACAGGGAAGGGACCAAAGAAAAGGAGTGTCTTTCTTTGTTAGGTTGGTCAGTGRTGCAACCACTGCAGAAAAGTTCCTGACAAACTTTCTGTAGTACGAGGCTAAACCCATGAAGGACCTGACATCCCTCACTGTCTGTGGTTGTGGCCACTCCTAAATAGCAGCTATCTTGGCTGCTTCAGGAGCCAGGCCATCTCCAAAGATTACATGACCCAGATAGATGACAGAGGGAACTCCAAAGGAGGACTTCTCTCTGTTAATCTTATACTGGCTGTCGCGTAACGACTGAAGAACTAGAGTCAAGTGCTTTGCATGTTCCCTGGCAGTCCGGCTGAATACCAGGATATCATCTAGGTAGACAATCATGAACTTGTCCAGGTAAGGCCTGAAGATGCGGTGCATCTCAGTCTGGAAGGTACCTGGGGCATTGCAAAGTCCAAATGGCATGACCAGAAACTCGTAAGTCCCATATCTCGTCTTGAAGGCTGTCTTGTAGACATCCTCCTCTGCCATCTCAATCTGGTGGTAACCAGATTTGACGTCGACTTTACTGAATACTGTACAACCCTGCACCATATCCAGGAGGTCATCGATCCTAGGAAGAGGTTCTGTACTTTTCCTAGTGATCTTATTGAGACCTCTGTAGTCGATGCACATTCTGAATTCTCCATTCCCTTTCGGGACGAAGAGCACTGATGTGCCAAATTCAGATGTGCTCGGCCGTATCCAGCCTTTGCTGGTCAGGGTCTCTAGCTGTCTTCTAAGCTCCTCAAGCTCAACAGGGGACATCCTGTAGATGCGGCCCTTGGGAGGGACAGCTCCAGGTAGTAGCTCAATGTGATGCTTGGTTGGCCGGTTGGGTAATCCAAAGGGCTCCTGCATCAGATCCGCATACTGATCCACAACCTGCTGTATCTCAGGAGGACAGGAAACAGGTGGACCGTTCGTTTGCTTGACCAGAGCTAAAAACAGAAGCTCATGGTCATACAGGCGCGAGAGAGAATAGAACTCCCTCGCTCTCAAACAATAGCAACTAGTTTTAGGGTGGTGTTCAGTAGCAATTCTGCAAGTCTGATACACCCCCTGCCCATTGGGGAGCTCAATCTTAGGGATCTGCCAGTCGATCCTAGGGTTGACTGCCCTTAGCCACTGCACCGAGAACACTAGATCAAAGGGTAAATCAGGGAATATGTAGAAGTTCAGACTATGTCCGACCTCTCCAGCACTGTCGAAGGTAACAGGGATACCCCTAACCTTCTCCCTGATAGTGAGAACAGTGGAGTCACCTATTCTGACCAGCAGCGGTTGCTGCAGCTGCTGAACTTTCATGCCCAGATGCAATTTCTTGACAGCACTGGGAGACATGAAGTTCCACAATCCAACAACCCCTTGATAATGATGTTGTTGATTAGGGGTCGAAGTAGGATGAGATCAGATTTGCTTTTCTTTTGTTCCTTCAAATGAAGGAAGAAAGCAGCAAGTGACTGAAGCTCATCCTGCCCCGGGTCCTAATCCGGGTAAGGATCCTCATAGCAGAAGGATGCTGCCCGTGCAGTCCCCAAACTCATAGACTCTGTCTCAATTGAAGCAGCTGCAGATTCCCCTACCTCAGCAGATGAAGGTGCAACACTGGGGGGAACTGCAGTCCCCAGGGTCTGCTTCAATTTTTTGACTGACCCGGGCCTGGCATGTAAGGGCAACCCTTGAGAAAGTGTTGTCCCTCACATCTCACGCAGACCCCTCTTTCCTTTCTTCTTCTCCACACTCCCTCCTGGATCTTGAGGTCATGCCAGGGGAGGGTGGAGGGATTGAGTGGGTCAGCTGGCATTCGGACGTCTCTTGGCAGATTCGGGCGCTAGGCAGAGGTAGAAGGACGACGTCCCTTATCCTTCCACTTGGACCTGGCTGAGGCTATGGTGGGGGAAAATTTCTTCTGCTGCTGCAGAACTCCCAAAATTGCCCGAGTCAGGGCCCCTGCAACATCAGCATCAGCATCTGGTGCAGTCCCGGCTGATGGTGTATCAGGCTGGGAATTTGAATCAGAGGCTGATGCAGACCCTGCATGTGCAAAGGCCGCTTTTCCCTTTCTACCACCACGAGGGGAAGTTCCTTTCCTCCTGTCAGAGGAGGGGGCCTGGACATGAAGTTTTGCCTCCATGTCCAGGGCTGCACGGCCAAAGGATCTCCAATCCTTATGCCCTGCACTGTACAAAGCAACATCAAACTTCTCAGGCGCCGCCCTGCAGAAGTTGGCTAGTAAGTCATCTGCAGACATCACCAACCCAGGGGTGGAAGTTAGCTGCTCGAACTCTGCAAACAACGATTGCAGGAACCACTGTAACATTGCTGTCCCAGGCGAGCAATCCTGCCAGCAGCTTTGCGGGCCCGCTCCTTGTCTGCAAAGCGTTCTTCCAGGGCCTGCAGAAGGTTGTCCACCCCCAATCCCAAAGCCCAGTCCTCCATTGATTTTGCAGACCGCTGCAGGTAGAGGTAGCCCACTTTTGAGCAGGCCCCTCCAGCAGTCCAAGAACCGTAGCCACTTTTGTCTGTTTTGGGCATATGAAGCCCTTCAAGTAAGGCCTGGTCCCTGCAGCCCAGTCCCCAACATCAGTCTTGGGGTCATCCCCTCTGAACTTGTTGGGGGCAGGGATCTTGGGACCTCTCTGATCCCCTGCAAGAACAGCTGCAAAAGTGGGTTTGGCTGTGGCCTTTTGGGACGAAGGTGGTGAGGGGGAAGAATGACGTGAACTGGGAGTAGAGGATGGAGAGGAAGGAGGAGGTTTGGGTTTGAGTACAGGGGACTGAGGAACGATCAGCTTGGCTGCTGTCAGCTGAGCAGTTAAGGACTGAATTGCATCCAGTATCCTTGACTGCTGAGCTGCCAGATCGTCAACCCGACGCTCTAAACGGTCCAGGCGATCATCCCAGTTAGTGAAATAAGAACTAGTGGCTTTGTGTTCCAGAATGGCCAACTCCGCCAGGTTCTTATTCACATGGGAACAACGGTCATCTGCCAGGACCTTGGTTAGCTGCTCCAACAGGTACCCCCTGCGAGAAGTATCTGTTGCAGCCTCTAGCTCGGCCGCCTCCTGTCTCTCAAGCTCTGCTAGCAGCGCCTGCTGCTGCTGCAGCCTATCCTGCAATTCCTCCTTTTTCTGCTGAGTAGCGGTCAGAGGTGCAGTAGGGGTGGAGGTCGAAGGTTGTTGACCTTCTACCTTCATCAGTACTTCCACCTATTGTTGCTGCTTAGCCTCCCCGTTCGCCATTTTCCCTCTTCAGAAAACGAAATAACAGACAGACAGCAGAGAGTATGCAACGATATACAGATTCGTACAGACACTCAAAAATTGTTGTTATCTCATACACAGAAGTCAGGTGGGTGAACAGGCAACAAGCGATTTGGGTTGGAACAGTTTCTCTGGGGTCAGGGGTCAGACAGACAGTTAGTCCAGTAAAATCAATCACACAATTTCCTTTTACTGACCCTACACCACACTGGAGTTAGTATACACTACTTCGGTAGTTCCAGAGATACCCTAGATTTCCAGAGGCCACTAGAAAACAAGAGTAGCCAATGAGAATGAAAGAAGATGGCAAGTACAGACAAGAGTGGTCAAACAAACAACAAAGCGATTCAGTCAGAGACCCTAAATTCTAGTCTAGACTCCCATTTCGGCCCTGGTGACTCTAGCAGCCATACCCTAGGGTATGGCAAAGTATAGTATTCACTGTATCTAGTGAAATACTAGATATCCAATTAAGTGCTTCTGTACTACTGACAATTCTTGAATTGCGATTGACTGACAATTGACAAAATTGAATTCTTACGGACAGAATTGAAGTTGTGACTGACCCTAGTTAGCACAAGCTATCATTAGACTCAGCGCAAAACTACAATTCACAGTATCTCTACTATTCCAGTACAGAATTCACAGTCTGAGCATCCAAAATCAAGCGCAATACAGTCAGGCAGTCACAAAACAACTTTGGATTGAAAAGAGTCAACAGAGGGTAAGAAACGAGAAGAAGGAGGTAGGAGAGTGATGGCCATGGCTGTCCTGCAGTCTGCGATTTTCAATTCCAGTCACTGACAGACAGATAGACCATCAATACTAATTAATCTAACCCTATCTGAATCGCTATACAGGGATGTGCATGGAATGGACTCACTTTCAGAGTTTCTTGCAGAGCTTTGTGAAGATCTGGCTATGGCAGACTGAAACCCTCATCTCGCCAGTTTCTTCTAGAAATTCCCCCTCTGTCTTCCATGCACAGAATCTCTTCTTGTTGATCTTCTTCAGGATCCTGATGCGCTACAACCCCTTTAGTCAGATACACCGGATCTGACCCTGTGGCGCCAGAATGCCAACAAGAAATTATCTCACCACAGGACCCCACAGCCGCTGATGCTATAAAAAGCCTCAGATGAGGTTAATTTCACCTGCGATTGACACAGACTGTCAATCTCCCTCAGCGCTGCTCAGGGATGAAGCCGCTCAGAGGATTCTGAAGTCCTCAGGGGCAATTCGCCACTCTGAGGCAATTCGCTATACTGCCCTCAGGGTTGGCTATGGCGAATTAGCCCTGTTCTCGCCACTTCCTTGCAAGCGCCCTGGCAGGCTCAGTGCGCTTGTTCAGTACAACCACTGAACTCCCGAATTCACCGCTTGAAATCTTCTTCCCTGCTGTCTCAGTACTGGACAAGATGAATCGCCATGAAGCTTTTCGCCAGTAGTTCGCCAGATGATGAAGATGCCTCAGTTGCACTCAACCCTCAGTGCTCCAATTCCAAACCTGCTCTGATATGAACTTGGTTGTCTGACGATTTCTACCGCCACTCACACACAGACAGTCTCATACACGCCCATACATGCATAAGAGAAGGGGAGAGGAGACAGAGTCCAAACTGTACACATATCAGAGTAGACAGCGAAAGTTCAACCATGCACAGATGGGGAGAAGACACCCTGGGTTTCTCACTCTCTGACAGACTCCCAACAACCAATCACACGAAGACACCTGCAAGGATAACAATTGGAATTCACACTGATGATGAACCAAACTCAAACCAAATACCGTTACAAAGTTTGTTCCAGTATCTTGCCACTTTCAGAACCGCACACTCCACTCTCTACCCTACACCCAGTTAGTAGCGCAACACCGAAATGGCCTCCCAGAGGCCAGCGCCAACCACCCAGATGAAGAACCGACCCGCGATGAAGTCCTCAGTGTCGGTGAACAACTCTGACGAAGAAACAGGCAGCTATGGCTGCCACCACCCACGAATATTCTGTGAAGAGCCTCGATATAGCCCTGGCAGGCGCAGATACCCTCAGGGGTAGGTGCGCTGAGGATGCCCCAGCTTTGGCAACCTTCTGAAGGCCGGCTATGGCTGCCGTCCACGGCAAGGGTCTCATGATGCTGCCTGTTGACAATCGTCACCGCCAACTTGCTTGGCTTCTCCAAACGCTACTTCCTAAACTACTAATAGATCTCTACTACCCTAGCCTAGACCTAGACCAGACTGACTGGACCGACCGGTACCGTTTCAGCTTCGGCCTCTGTCCTCTCCCTACCCGACTATAGGCTATAGGACCGTCTATCGGTATAGGCCCTTCGGGCCTGTCCGTCCTAGGGGTAGTCCGGGTCTGCTATACGCAGTGAGGGTAGCTATAGGAAATTTGAAATAGTGTTGGGCCTATATTTCCCATATTTGCAGATATGTCCCTCACGAATTTGCCTTACAGGTAGGTCTCTCAGTTAGCCCTCAGCCAAACAAAATTACGACTCTAACCTACTGCTGTTACTGTACAGCCTCGCAGTCAGTCTCGGCAGTCAAAATCAGCAAGCCATTGCACTACTTGGCTCAATGTTTAATGTTAAGGGACGCTGGACCCAGTTTCCCGCAAGTGCAGCTCCCCACCAATAGAATGGAGCCATCTAAGAGCAGGACCAATAGAGGGGGTGTCTGCTCTTACCAATGTACCAGCACCCCTTGTCTACAAATTGGACATGACATGTCAGGGTGCCATACATGAGTGCACTGTTGACTGTCATCATATCTGTGAAAACAAAACCATGATCATGACATGCCGCTTGGCTCAATGTTTAATGTTATCTTCCTCTATGATTTCGGCCCGAAATCCATGCCAGGGCGACCCGGAGTGGCCACCGTGGGGTCAGGCCCTCGGTCAGGAATGATGACTAGACCTCCTACACCGCAGGGAAGGCTAGCGCAGGCTACCCGTACTCGAGGTCTAAAACCAGTGCAAGTCAGGTACCTCCTCGAAAGGAGCTTGAGCCAGAGAAGAGGAGGGAAGTTGTGGAAGTAGAGGATGATGACAAAGAAGAAGA